GTCCTCGTTGATAAACGACATTCAGCGTGTAACACGTCTTGTATCCTCGTTGATAAACGACATTCAACCAGTAACACGTCTTGTATCCTCGTTGATAAACGACATTCAGCGTGTAACACGTCTTGTATCCTCGTTGATAAACGACATTCAACCAGTAACACGTCTTGTATCCTCGTTGATAAACGACATTCAGCGTGTAACACGTCTTGTATCTTCGTTGATAAACGACATTCAGCCTGTAACACGTCTTGTATCCTCGTTGATAAACGACATTCAGCCAGTAACACGTCTTGTATCCTCGTTGATAAACGACATTCAACCAGTAACACGTCTTGTATCCTTCGTTGATAAACGACATTCAACCAGTTACACGTCTTATATCCTCATTGATAAACGACATTCAGCCTGTAACACGTCTTGTATCCTCGTTGATAAACGACATTCAGCCTGTAACACATCTTGTGTCTCTCATGTTGACTTCTTCCTGCTGAGGATACCTTTAAGAGACTAAATCTGTCTGTCGACCAACAAGTAACATTTACGTTGAATTTGAACTACTCAAACCTGTAATTATCAAACGCTTCATACTCAGCTAAGTCGTATAGACTTTTAATTGATAGCTGTAGGGTGTTTCTCGACCAAATAAAACCTGCAATAACGAAATTACTGAAGATCTAGAAGACTTGTAACAGACGTTGGTGTTGTTTTATTTGCTGGTTGACTTTGAGTTATTAAAGAAATGTCTGGCTAAATTTCCAGATCGGAGCCACTTTGATACGACTCAGACTACATTTCATTCTAATAGTTTCTGAATATGTTATAGATATACATATATTATTATTTTTATTCTAATAAATAATAAATCAATATTTAGAAGCCCAGCATTTACTATCCGGAAATGATTAATTTTCCAAGTCTACTAGGTATATTATTCTATATTGTTACTCAGATTGAAATGATATAACAGGGAAGTATATAGAATAGCATCATAATGCTAAAAATGTTACTCATTTCTTCTGTTTTTACCAATTTCGACTAATTTTATTTGTTTTGTTTTGATTGAGTTTCACACAAAGCTACTCGGGGGCTATCTGCGCTAGCCGCTCCTAATATAAAAAAATGATAGATTAGAAGGAAGGCAGCTAGTCAACAACACCCGCCACCTACTCTTAGAATACTCTTTGTAGGATTGGCCATCATATTATAACGCCCACAAGTGAAGGAACGAGCATATTTAGCATACATTCATACATACAACCCCTACTGGATTCCATTGTTTAGGTAGTGAAGGAACGAGCATGTTCAGCATACATACATACAACCCTTACTGGATTCCATCGTTTAGGTAGTGAAGGGACGAACATGTTCAGCATACATAATACAACTCTTACTGTATTACATCGTTTAGGTAGTGAAGGGACGGGCATGTTAAGCATACATACATACAAACAACCCTTACTAGATTCCATCGTTTAGGTAGTGAAGGGAAGAGCATATTCAGCATACATACATACATACAACCCTTACTGGATTCCATCGTTTAAGTAGTAAAGGGAAGAGCATGTTCAGCATACATACATACAACCCTTACTGGATTCCATCGTTTAGGTAGTGAAGGGACGAACATGTTCAGCATACATAATACAACCCTTACTGTATTCCATCGTTTAGGTAGTGAAGGGACGAGCATGTTCAGCATACATACATACATACAACCCTTACTAGATTCCATCGTTTAGGTAGTGAAGGGACGAGCATGTTCAGCATACATACATACATACAACCCTTACTGGATTCCATCGTTTAGTTTGTTCAATAATAATGCTAAATTACACTGCTAAATTAGGGACGGCTAGCACAGATTGCCCTCGTGTAGCTTTGCGCGAAATTCATAACCAACAAATAAACAGTCAAAAATACAGAATTCTTCCATGATAGAATTATTCAGATAATCAAACCGTGGATAAATGAGACTTAAATATAAAGAAAGACAATACACCATTTATTTATTTCATTACACATATTAGACATCTTGGGCAAGTTAAGAACACAAATGTACACGATACTGGAAGTGCACTATGTAGGAAGGTGAGTAAGAAAGTCACAAACAAACAAATGTACTATTCTGCCGTAAAAGATCAATAATGTCTTCAAACACATTATCTATCCGATTTACTTGAGTTTTATAAAAGATTGGAAATAGCTCACAGCTTGGCAGAAAAATATTCTTAAAATATTTTTTGAAGGCCTCTAGAGATAGCCATGGTTTTCATTTATCGACGTCACCAAAGTGGCATGTCAACAGCGAGGATATATCCGTTCGACCTTTTCTTCTATACTTTCATCTTTATCTGAAATTACGTGTGGCAAACACATTTACGCAGCTTTGTTGCACTGCAGCTGCATTACTATCTTCAGTCGACCGAGGAGGTGAGATATGAAACACGATATATATATATATAAAAAGACAGTATTGCATTATTAGATAAATATTGAGAAAGAAGAGTTAATCGACGATGTGGAAATTTTCCAAACATCTTATTTCGAATAATAAACTATCAACGTTTCGAATTATTTCCGTTGATCATTCGAAGTGGAGCTCCAATTATAATTACGTTGATTCATCGTGTCAAAACGATGCAATGCTAACCACTTAATCTACATTGACATGATTTTCAAATACATCATGATGTTACATATGTTTTTTACATCACACGAAGACGTGTAGAGAAGATGTATTATTTCAAGCGGCGATTGTGAACTTTTGACAACTCATGTAAGTTCATACACGAGGCAAAAAAAATCGATGAACTTTAAATATGACTTCATTTCGTGTAATTTCATACGTACAAAGTAAATTTTCTCTTCTATGTGATACAACTTAACTGATCAGGATGTTGTGTCAAAGCAAAGAATGTCTGTGAGGCTAGGACTACTTTAGTTTATTCAAGAATGCAACTACACAAGTTGAATAGATACGTAACAAATGATAATATACCGACAATCTTTTTTTCAGATCTATTTCATTAACATATAAGTTGCAAGAAGGTTGCCACATGAAGTTATAAACTGCACTGATCATTTAATTAAATGTTTTAGTTATAGTTAGGATTCGCAATGATTACTTTTGCTAGCAACATATACGTGTAGGATTTTTGTAAGAACATGGAAAACTACTCCAGCCACACACACAGAATATTGAAAGTTTTATTGGTGAAACTTCCATCAAAAATTAAGTTATGCTGAATAAAGCTATCATTATTTTAAATAAACAAATAGAGAGTTTGATTCAAATGTTAGTTCTGTGTTAAAGCTTTGGTATTCATATAAATGCTCCAAGTACGTTTGTTAAATGTATCATATATTTATGTGTTTCTCTTACTTATTTATCAGATACTTATTGGTTTCTCTTACTTAGTATCGAATGGTCTGAGAATCACATACCTGGATGTACCTGAGAGTGTTCAATCGAAGCAGGAAGTCCGACTTGGATGTATGTTTGACTTAGAAAAAGACAGCCTCTATTCCGTCAAATGGTATAAAGATGACTTGGAATTTTTTCGCTACGTACCAAAGGAAGATCCACAACGACAGTTCTTTCCCTTAGATGGCATTAACATTGACGTTAGTATACTTGGCATATCGAAGTAACAAAACATTGAGTTGATAACAATAATTATTAGTTGCAAGTACAGTTGGTAAATCATGAACCACAAAATTTTAACGTACTAAAGAGGCGACTTGAAGATTAATTACAAATAAATTTTCAAGATCTTTACAAGAAGAATATGTTGTTTTTTTGTGTGTAGTTTTGATTACTTCTATAAGCTTAAATAATTTCTATCAAATGAAATATTCAAATTTAGATATACAATGGCATAAATTAACATTGTTATGCCAACTTAGCAGTGACTATAAGTTCGTTATATATATATATATATATATATAAACGGTCCAACAATAAACGCAAACATAATTTAATAAAGCTTTCACAAATAATTCTTCTAGAACAATGTTTATTATATACAAAAGTTGTGAAAAAAGCTTTTCTTCTGTGTCCTTTCATGATGAAATGATTTGGAAAACGCTACTAAAAATAAATACGTTTCGTATTTCAGTTCACCCGCTCCAACAAAGATGTTGTGTATATTCAAGATGTTCAGATGTCAACCGGGGGAAGTTACAGATGTGAAGTGTCTGCTGACGCTCCTTCCTTTAGAACGGTGTCCATGGAAAAAGTAATGGCCATCAAAGGCATGTATAAATCTAATTTGAGACCAGTAATTTAGTTCGACACTGCTTTAATGGGAATTTTTTCTACTTTAGACATCATAATTAAGATGTATATTTGAATGGGCTATTGATTTTCGTTACGATAGCAATAAAAGTCTATAGTTAAGAAAGCCATCACCTTGAAGTAGATCCCTTCTAACAATAAGTTTATGTAAGCCTATGTATTGATCGGTTTCCATCTTGAAAAAGTTTTCCAATACAACATAGAAATATGTCCAGCGGAAAAAATATACTGTTGTTATTGATGTGCCTTCACTACTCCTCATCACTTTTAAAGTTTTAGTAGGACTTTTGGTACTATATTTATACTTGTAAAATAATATTTTCTAAGGCAACAACATCTGGACGCAACGTTCTACTCACGATTGTTGCGATGTGCAAGACGTTACTAGTGAATACATGAATAAAATCATATGAGTTTTTTATTCCAGCTTTTTATTCTTGAAAATGAGCCTGTTTTTGTTGAGAGAAAACGTTTTCTGTAAATAAGTTTGTTTGTTTGTTTGTAATTAAGCACGAAGCTACACAATGGGCTATCTGTGCTCTGCCCACCACGGGTATCGAAACCCGGATTCTAGCGTTGTAAGTCCGCAGACGTACCGCTGTGCCACTGGGGGCATTGTAAAGAAGTAGAGTCCTGCAAGTTCGTCAAAATGTTATGTGACGTTTTGAGTTCAAGAATTCGTATATTTTCCCGATTGAAATGTTACAAATCTTTAAGAGAATCGGATTAATTAGCTTATCCTTGCTACTTCATCTTGATAATGACTCAGCCTCAACATTACATCGTCTAATCTAATAGCTTAATTCAAATATTATTTCTCTAAAATTGAGCTGACAATTATTATATATATATATTTCATAAATTAATACAATTTTGAAACTACAATTTTTTTTATCGTTTCAAACCAGTTATATTTTGCTTCATGTTTCGACCACGTTTGTTCAAGTCATCATTAGGGAGAATCAAAGTAGACCAGTCAACAATATATTATTGTTTCGTCTGCTTTCATTCTGCTTGATGATAAGCTAAACAAATGTTTTCGAAAAATGTGAAAAAGTATCTTTGTTTTTGGTTTAAAAGATGTATTACTTTCGTTAATTAAATGTCACAAGCTCATTATATGGACTACCTGAGTCTCCTTGGGTCTTTCATATTTATACGGAATTACGTTATTGATTTCAATACACTTTTTTCACTTACTGACAAAAACCATACGCATTTTTGTAGGACACATTTCAATAAGGATTATCTGAGATTGGGATGTTGATTTTTTATAAAGTATTTGTGGATGTTTTATTCACTTAAAGTTTATTTTGACTGGAAGCAGAAGATGCCATTAAAATTAAGCAGAATAAGTGGAAGCTGTCCTGAAAGGTAATGTCTACAGACACTGATTGTGGTAAAACACTTAAGGTAAAGCTAGGCGCTGAAAGAATAGTTTGGTTTTGGTTTGAATTTCGCGCAAAACTACTCGAGAGCTATTCGCGATAGCCTCCCCAAATTAGCAGTGATAGACTAGAGGGAAGTCAGTTAGTCATGAGCTACCCTTTTACCAATAAATAGTGGGACTGATCTTCACAATATAACGTCCCCAAAGACTGAAAGACCGAGCATGTTCGGAGAAAGGGATTCGGACTCTCGATCCGCAGTTTACGAGTCGAACGCCCTAATCACCAAACAAAAAATTATGATACGCCCACTCACATTCAGAGATCTGTATCGAAGTAAAAACGACCGAGTGCTAGTACATAGCAGTGCGGACCAAACTTCCTAGAAGTAAAGGTTATATGGAATTAATATAAAGATCTCAGACCAGTAGTTTCGTGATGAAAAAAATCGAAGACAAGCATAAAATATTATGTTTTATTAATGAAGAGCTATTGTATGCTAATACATTATTTATAGGCTACTCGAAAACGAAGTTTTTACAGCTGCAAATTCCACAAATCACCTCTGAAATTAAACAAGCAACGCTGTTGAATTATTCTCAAATAAGAGATTGTTTCGTAGTTTTGATACTGACAATAGTGCGAAGATAACTTAGTTTTACATATCTCCGTATTCCTCGGACGAAAGGAGATTGTTTCGTAGTTTTGATACTGCCAGTAGTACGAAGATAACTTAGTTTTACACATCTCCGTATTCCTCGGACGAAAGGAGATTGTTTCGTAGTTTTGATACTGCCAGTAGTACGAAGATAACTTAGTTTTACACATCTCCGTATTCCTCGGACGAAAGGAGATTGTTTCGTAGTTTTGATACTGCCAATAGTACGAAGATAACTTAGTTTTACATATCTCCCGAGGAATATAATGGAAGGAAAATCTATTAGATAAAAATGAATTCTAAGCGCTATTCAACATTAGGCTTATTTTTATCTTTCAAGGTTTCTTCTCTATCTTATATTGTATATAACGTTCTTCTGTAAATAAATTGAAATGTTGCAAGATATACCACGTTTTTAATGGATATTTCAAATAAAATTATTTTGTTAAGCAATCCTTAAAAAGCTAGAAAAGACGTGGGCTTATCTTAACCACATTAACTATGAAAACTCCACCAGAAAAAATATGTTTGAATATGTATTGTGAGACAACATGAAATGATATTTTAAGCCGTTGAAATATAAAATTTTGTGTTTTTCGTATTTTAATGTTTTCTTTTTTTTTTCAGTTGATACAGGTGGAGCAGAGCGAAGTTGTTGTGACATTAAAATATTAATAATCCTGTTTCTTCTGAACCTGGCACTAGGAAATGGAATTGTATGTGTCAATTAACTGATTATAAGATAAAGAAACCTTGAATTAGCATTGGTGAAGTGTTATTATAAACATAATATATCGCAGCTAATATCAAACTGATGCCTTCCGTTTACATTTACTGTTACATCAATGCCTCGTCTCGTTTCAAGTGATATTTAAAGACTGTGGTTGCTGTGTTCATTTTCATACTGTATCTTGCTATAATGTCAATTTCAGTTCAGTGGTTATTGCAATTGTGACTGATCTTAAATCTATGTATTACTCGGTGAGTTGTTATAGTCTATAACTTGGAAATATATGTAAACGTTCTTTTTTTTTTGGTTCAAAATCTGGCTTACCTCAAATTCTGTCAGAGAGAGAGAGACAATATATTACGCCATACAAATAAAAAATGACATTTTACATTTGATTTAGAAACTAAAGTAAAATCTATATTTGCAATGAAGTAAAAAGCTACACATACTTTAACAATGATTTAGAAACTAAAGTAAAATCTATATTTGCAATGAAGTAAAAAGCTACACATATTGTTAAAGTATGTGTAGCTTTTTACTTCATTGCAAATATAGATTTTACTTTAGTTTCTAAATCATTGTTAAAGAAACCAAACAAAATACTCCAGACGAAACATATAGCTTATATGCGCTTGAATCTTTATTCAGTAAAACCAATGGACTACAATGTCGACTCTTTCCCTTATGTTACACAAAGCACCTATTTTCTGTTACTTTCTTATCTTATAAGGATCAAAACTTTAATACGCAAAGAATTATCATTACTGATATAGCTGAACTATATATTTACCCAATTTTGTTAGAGCGATTGAAATATACAGTCCAGCACAAAGCACCAATCAAGCTCAATGAAAACAACAGTTTCTAATATTCAATTATCACCCTTACTCTGCAAAAAAAAATAGTTTAAAACGGGTGTTCTTTAGAATCCTTCATTTCGTTATTTATAAATCTTACAAAAGAAAAATATACAAATTTGCTGTAAATCATAGAGAATCTAATGTATTCATCTTAAATGTTATTTATTTATGTTTGTCTGTGTTTTTCTTTGGAAACGTTACTATAAAAAAATTTGGAATTTATATTTATTGCTGAAGCCGAAAAAAAAGTTGTAATTGTGCGTCATAATTGACTTTATGGAAAGCAGTTATGTTAATATAAGAACACACACCCAGGTATTCTCGTTGATATGTAATATTGTTTTTAAAAATTTGGATAGTATAGACCTAAACCAAGTACTGGTTCATGGGGAACACTTCAAACTTATTAATTATTTTGTAGTTTCAGTTCTAGTGTATTAAGTTATCAGAGGTTTATTTTACTCAGTATTTAAATATGTATCATATCGAGGAAGAGACATCTAAAAATTTCTAGGCATTTCTGTTAATTGAAAAATGTCAAATGTTTTATTGTATTTTTACAAGACTCTCACTTAAGACACAGATGGAGAGTAACAAACCTTATTTGTCTAGCAAATTTAAAATTATTTATAATGATATATTTTAAGACTCATGTTGGTAGTATATTATTGATAAATAGTACGAGAAATTATAAATATTATTGTCAACATATCTAAGAACTTCTCAATTTGTCTACAAATACAATTGTATATATTTATATGTTAATTTGCGTAAGATACAATTAACGATGTAGCTGACACTGTATTGTTTTCCCAAACGTTTCCTAGGCTCAATGTATTTGAAAGACAAATAAAGATCTGATTTAACAAACAATGGAGTATTCACTGACATAAAATAGTATAATAAAAAGTATTCAACCGTAGTTTATATGTATTATAATCAGTTGTGGTTATTTTTTGCCGCAGTTTCATTTGTGTTATAGGTAGTATTAGCTCTATCTAGCCGTTGTTTAATCTGTATTATAATTATTATTTGATATATCTAATCTCAGTTTAATCTGTATTATAATTATTATTTGATATATCTAGCCGTTGTTTAATCTGTATTATAATTATTATTTGATATATCTAATCTCAGTTTAATATGTATTATAATAATTACAAGCAAAAGTACTCATCCCCAGTGACGAAAAAAGTTTAAGTTAATTTATCAATTTAAATTATTTCATGGACTTTAGAAAGGTTAATTGTTTTGAACTCTTGGTTTTCCATAATTTTATATTTCCAAATTCACTGCACTTACTAGCCTTGTATTTATTTTTTATTCGGTTGGGTAGCTTATTTGACCTGGTTAGCTCTTGGTTAATATTCATGATTCAAATGATGATAGATCGTCTTAGAAAAAGGTTAACGGTTATATAGCAAAAAAGTTTGATACTTTTCTGCATTACCGAACACTAAGAAAATACTGATTATAATACATATAAACTACGGTTGGATATAAGAAAATACTGATTATAGTACATATAAACTACGGTTGGATATAGAAAATACTGATTATAATACATATAAACTACGGTTGGATACAGAAAATACTGATTATAATACATATAAACTACGGTTGGATATAGAAAATACTGATTATAATACATATAAACTACGGTTGGATATAGAAAATACTGATTAT